CTTTTCCCCGCCCCCCATAGCCCACATCTGGGGCGGGGGAAGGGTGACCCAGGCTTCCCTTGACGAACCGGCGGCGGCCTCCCAGCGCAGCCGGTAGAGGAGGAGCCTCGGGTGCTCGGGTGGCGGCACCGGATCCTCCTCCTCGTCGCTAGGCCTTCCGCGGCCTGGCGGTGGGCTGGGCCCTCCCCTTCTCCTCCTCCTCCTCCTCCGGGTAGGGACGGTTGAGGAAATCCTATGAACACGTGGAACAAGCGGGGCGGGGTTTCGCGGGGGGGGGGGGGGAAAGGTGACCCAGGCGTCCCGTGACGAAACTGCAGCGGCCTCCCAGCGCAGCCGGTAGAGGAGGAGCCTCGGGTGCTCGGGTGGCGGCACCGGATCGTCCTCGTCGTCGATAGGCCTTCCGCGGCCTGGCGGTGGGCTGGGCCTTCCCCTTCTCCTCCTCCTCCTCCTCCGGGTAGGGACGGTTGAGGAAATCCTATGAACACGTGGAACAAGCGGGGCGGTTTCGCGAGCGAGTGGTGACGTGTTGGCAGGGTGTGGCAGCAGTTCTCCCGGCCGACCGCTGCCTTCGGTGTCTCTGAGCATCTGCAGAGTGCCTTTCCGCAGTCGGCGAGGGGCGCCTAACTTCCTCCGCCCATCCTTCCCCTTCTCCTGGGGCGATCAGTGCGGGGCAGGGTAGGGCAAACCTGGCTTGCCGTGGGAGCATAGCCCTTAGAGCTGCTCGGCCTTACTTTGGATGAAGGAAAAGACCGCCGGGCTGAGAGAGTCTCCTACCACATCCACCAAGCTGCCTTTCATAGTCGCGTTTTCTGAACGGCTGTTTCTTTCCCTTTCCCTTCCCAGGATAATCTAGCCGCATCATGGCTGCCCCAGATGAGCTCAAATTTCACGGTGAGTGTTTTCTCCGAGGTCTGGGTTTAAGCAGGCATGTTTCATGTTGATGAGAATGCCTCGGTTGTGCCATAGAGCTTTTTCTGTCTGCACTAGAAGCACTCAGTCATCCCAGAGCAACCAGTCAGGAGGGGGATTTTGCTGTGCTTCCCAGGACCTATCTGCTGATAAGGACTGAAGCAGGAGATTCCATATAATTACAGAATTCAGTGGGACTAAAAATACAGCCATGAGAAAGCTGCAATCTTAAACCTATTGAACAGGATTCTCTGAGTGAATATGGAATACTTTAGTAAACAACTGTTAGTGTATTGTGATTGGGTATTTTCCATGTCATATTCTTTAACTGCAGTATATTCTGATTTATCTGGATGTATACAACATTGAACTTAGTGGGATTTAAAGGTAAGTATAACTCTTGTGGATGATATACATAGATAAAATGGTCCTGTTACTGTAAATGCTTTTTCCTTACTAGGTTTGACAAATACTGAGCCACATATGCATATGTGTGTGTGTTTGTCTTAGGCTTAGAAGAAAGAAACCCCAAAGCTTTGTGGATAGTTTTTTTCTTCCGTCTTTGGGCATCTGTTAACATTTCTGAGTGAGTTTCTCCAACAATCTCTGAGGAAAGGTCTTTTAATTTCCTGCTTTTTTCCCAAAAACCCAAGTTCTCGGCAAAAGCTTCAAATTCTTTTTTCTGCCTTAGATCATACACTTCTTAAAAACCATACTGTATTATGAAAAATCCATTAATTTTGCATACTTGGTTGGAATCATAGAATTTGAAAGGAGCACTTAGCCTAACAAGTTCACTCCTTGCTCCATGCCAAAGTCCAAATTAAAACAGAAAATTTGTTGGTCAAGCCATGAGTTCCTGTAGCCACCCTTTAAAACAAATTTCACTGTTCTTATTTACAACTGATATCAGAATTCCTTTTGTATTTCTATGCTAATGTTATGTTAAAAGTATATAAAAAGTTAAGTATTCAGATTTTTTTAACCTTCTCCTCTTTGGGGAGGAGTTTAAGCATTGGGGGAGAGCAGTCTTACACAGTGGCAACTAGATCCTAGCAAGGTTCCAAAAGGATTTTGTTCTGCTCTTTGCTTCTCAGTATGAAATGATGAAAAGCTTTTTTCTCCCACCTCAAAGATGCTTAGCAAGTTGCAGGAAGCAAAAGGATTTTTAAAATACTTAAAAATTATTTTTAATTTAGTGCAGTACTAGCAGAGATCCTTTCCTAAGTTTAGAAAGTGCTGTTGCAGTTGGCCCTTGAACTCCAGAATGAAGTTTGATTTGAGCCAATCAGATGTAATTGATATTTTCTCTGTAGAATTTAATGAAGCCATGGATTTGCTGGCTGAGAATGCTGATGCTACTACACCTAGCATTAGTGAGAGGCAAAGCCACACAACTCTCAACATGTCTTCTAGCTATAATGAGGAACATGAACCAGATGAAGAGGATGATAAAACTGAGGTGAGTTTTGGGGAGGATGGAGAAGATGCATGAACTTAGCCTAGGGACATTTTGACATAGAATTGAGAGATAGCGCGCACATGAGAGCGATAGATAATAGGACATCAAGTAAGAGTTTTGATTATATAGTTTTCATATATTTGTTAAATTTATATCTATGTTTTCTCCAAGAGTTTAAGGTGCTGTATGCAAAATTTAATTTTCTGTGCAATAACATTCCTGTACAGTATGTAAAGTTGGGCTGAAAGATGACTAGTCCAAACTTATTTGTTGTGTTTCCATAACTGAGGGTGGACTTGAACTGGGGCCTCCAGGCCCTAGCCCAACACTTTAACCACTGGCTATGCTACATTGCTATGAGCTGTGGTTACAACAATAAACTCAGGAAATATCTGACCTGACCTGACCTGACCATTATGGAATTTGACCTCAATATTTGATATACATTTGATATGATGCCAGTTTGGCCCCAGTGTGGAAGAGTAGGAGTTGGAAAATTTGCAGCTTAGTTTCTGTCACTGCACTACTTTTTCACTGTAACTAATGATTTATATTCAACTGTTTATAATATTTGATTATGCCCACAAGGCCATTCTTAATCCTCTGGGATGTCTCTTCTCTTACAGCAAGTGAGTGTAGTCTGTGGGTCCCTTGAGATTTTGGTGCAACCTTTTTCACACCACCTTTGGTACCACAGATTGGAGGCATTTACTATTTGGGATCAGTCTGTCTAGTGAGGAAAACTAGTTAACTAGCTAGTGAGTAGAACTCTTTAGTTAAAGAAAACAAAGCTGATAAAGAATACACCCAACATTTGTATGAATTTAAGATTTATAAGTGTATTCAAGTATAACCCTTATTCCAAATAACAACTTGGGGAGAAGGAAGATTCATAGCTTAACTTCTCAGTACTGATCTTAGATGGGTCTTGAAAAGCTGGTGAGAAGACTACATGCAGCTAACCAATTTAGTGGCGCTGGACTATGAACAATATGTGCAAAAAATAGAATGTCTTTGAGAAGTGTAATTTCACAAGCTCTCTGTGTTTTAAGTATATGTCAACACACATTCTGAGACCAGTATGCAAGGGAGTCTTTCTACTTTGGCTGTAGTGTTTCTTGACAAATTCACATTAAAGATCCAAAAAGGAATTGGTTAATTTCAAATTCATGTATCAAATTGTGGGGAGTAGAATTAGCTCTGTTAGCATGCTTACATGAGTGGGGGAGAAATAATCATTCAGTTTACAAAGAATAGAGAAGTTAGCAAATTTCAGCCACAACACAGGGCTGAACATAACAATGGTGGACCATACTTATTGTTCCCATCTGAAGCCCCAACCTCTGAAACTAGCCAGGGTGGGCAGTGTTTGAGGGATCAGACTTCAGGAGGTCATATAATAACCTCTAATCCCCCAAAGGTGCTTATGATTACCAATTTGGGAAGAGTCTTAGGGGTCTGGGTTTTAAGGGTGAGAATGGAGGCAAGCTCAATTTTTGGCTCCTTGGGGAGCAGTTAAGGTGTTTAAGGGTTGGAGTTAAAAAAATTTCATACCCTCAAAATGCAGGCATTTGGGTGCTGAATTTTAGCAGCAGAATTTCAGGGAGAGGCTGTTGCAGATACCCTGCAGGTTATCCACTGTTGTTCTAGCCTCTATTTACATTTGCTGGGCTCACTTCCATCCTAGCCCAATGACTGGGTAAAAGCCAGGTCTTCACAGCCCTTCAGAAGATTAATAGGATGGGGCCCTCCAAATCTCAGTGGGAAGGCTGTTCCAAAGGGTTGGGGCGGCCATGGATTCCCCATTTCCCCATTAGTGTTTGTTATAGTAGTAGATTATTATTTTTGTTGTTTATTTTGTGAACATATTTTGTGAAATATAATGAAGTATGATAAACAGAAAAAAATAATACAAGTGTTGATTCAGTAAAAAAAAACAACCAAATATATAAAAGTAGTTAAGGTGAAAATACTGAGGGGAAAAAAAAGACCCACGTAATAGAACTAGCTCATCCCTTTAACATTTTGTTAAATCTATAC